TCCAGGTGCATTTCTTCAACTCCTTCTTCTACGACAAACTGCGCACGCGCGGCTACGAGGGCGTCCAGCGCTGGACCAAGAACGTGAGGGGCGGGGCCTAAAGGGGTGTGGCCTAAAGGGGGCGTGGCCTGAACAGGCGTGGTCACGAGTGGGCGTGGCCACTGGGAATTTTTGGGAATTTTTTTTTATTTTTAAATTGATTTTTTTTGGTGGTATTCGGGTGGTTTCGAGGAGGTTTTGGGTCATTCAAGCCGGGAATTTGGGATTTTTTTCGGGGGGAATATTTGGGGTTTTGCGGTGATTTTTGTATTTGGGTATTTCGGGCCGTTTTCGGTAATTTGGGGCAGTTTTTGGTGTTTTTGGTTTCTTTTTGGGTATTTCGGGCTGGTTTTTGGGCCGTTTCCGGTATTTTCAGGCTGCTTTTGGTATTTTTTTGTTTATTTTTGGTTATTTCGGGCTGGTTTTTCGGCCGTTTTCGGTATTTTTTCTTTATTTGGGGGTATTTTGGGCTGATTTTGGCTTTTTTTGTGCTGTTTTTTGTTTATTTTGGAGAATTTCAGGCTGTTTTCGGTATTTTCGGCCTGATTTTGGTGTTTTTTGTTTAATTTTGGGTATTTTGAGACAGGTTTTGGGCTGTTTTCAGTATTTTTGGGCCATTTTTGCTATTTTTGGTTCGTTTTTGGTATTTTTTCTTTACTTTTGGGTATTTCGGGCTGATTTTGCCCGTTTCTGTGGAGTTTTTTGTTTACTTTTCTGTATTCCTTGCTGGTTTTTGGGACCTTTTTGCTATTTTCGGGGCCTTTTCCTCCATTTTCGGTCCCATTTCCCCCATTTTGGGGCCGTTTTCCCCATTTTCAGTCCCATTTTCTCCATTTCTGGGGCCGTTTCCTCCATTTTCGGTCCCGTTTCCTCCATTTTTGGTGCCCTTTTCTCCATTTTCGGTCCCATTTTCTCCATTTTCGGGGCCATTTTTTCCATTTTTGGTCCCGTTTCCCCCATTTCCGGGGCCATTTCCCCCATTTTTGGTCCCGTTTCCCCCATTTTCGGTCTCGTTTCCCCCATTTTTGGTGCCCTTTTCTCCATTTTCGGTGCCATTTTCTCCATTTTTGGGGCCATTTTCTCCATTTCCGGGGCCATTTCCCCCATTTTGGGGCTGTTTTCTCCATTTTCGGGGCCGTTTCCTCCATTTTCAGTCCGGTTTTCTTCTCCATTTTCAGTCCCGTTTCCCCCATTTTCGGTGCCATTTTCCCCATTTCCGGTCCCGTTTCCCCCATTTTCGGGGCCATTTCCCCCATTTTCGGTCCCGTTTTCTTCTCCATTTTCGGTCCCATTTTCGGTGCCATTTTCTCCATTTTCGAGGCTGTTTTCTCCATTTCCGGGGCCGTTTCCCCCATTTCCGGGTCCTTTTTGGCGTTTTCGGCAGGTGGACATCTTCGGCAAGGAGCTGCTGCTGATCCCCATCCACCTGGAGGTTCACTGGTCGCTGGTGGCCGTGGACGTGGGGCGCCGAACCATCACCTACTTCGACTCCCAGCGCACCCTCAACCGCCGCTGCCCCAAGGTGGGCGGGGCCCCAAAAATGGGGCGTGGCCTCCCAAAAAGGGGGCGTGGCCTCCCAAAAAGGGGGCGTGGCCGTGGGGTTAAAATTCGGGAGGGTTTGGTTGGATTTTGTCCCCGTCCTTTCTTGATTTTGGGTTGATATTTAATTTATTCCGGGGTTAAAGGGGTTAAATGGGAGGGGTTTGGGGGGTCAAAAAGGGGGCGTGGTTATTCTAATAAGGGGCGTGGTCGCGGGGTTAAAATTTGGGAGGGTTTGGTTGGATTTTGTCCCCGTCCTTTCTTGATTTTGGGTTAAAATTTAATTTATTCCGGGGTCCAAGGGGTTAAATGGGAGGATTTTTGGTCCCAAAGGGGGCGTGGTTATTCTAATAAGGGGCGTGGCCATGGGATTTAAATTTGGAGGGGCGGGGTTCACGTTTAGCCACACCCAGTCATTATTTTGGACTAAAATTTGATTAATTTTGGATTGGAAAGGGTTAAATGGGAGGGGTAGGGGTCAAAAAGGGGGCGTGGCCTCCCAAAAAGGGGGCGTGGTTATTCTAATAAGGGGCGTGGTCGCAGGGTTAAAATTCGGGAGGGTTTGGTTGGATTTTGTCCCTGTCCTTTCTTGATTTTGGGTTAAAATTTAATTTATTCCGGGGTCAAAGGGGTTAAATGGGAGGATTTTTGGTCCCAAAGGGGGCGTGGTTATTCTAATAAGGGGCGTGGCCACAGGGTTAAAATTTGGAGGGGATTGGTTCGTGTTTAACCACTCCCGCTCGTTACTTTTGCCCAAAATTTGCATAATTTTGGGCGAGAATGGGTTAAATCGTCCCTAAATGTGGGCGTGGCCCTTCGAAAAGGGGGCGTGGCCACGGTTATAAATTACAGGGGCGGGGCTAGAGTGCATATCAACATTCAAATTATTATGCAAATTTAAAATGGCTCATTAAAATATTCCTTAATTTAGGGGTGGGTGGGGCCTCAGTGGGTGCAGAAATGGGCGTGGCTTAATGGGTGGGAGGAGCCTAATTGGGTGCAGCTTAATGAGTGGGTGAAACCTCATTAAATGTGGCAAATGGGCGTGGCTTAATGGGTGGGTGGAGCCTAATTGGGTGCGGCTTAATGAGTGGGTGAAACCTCATTAAATGTGGCAAATGGGCGTGGCTTAATGAGTGGGTGGAGCCTAATTGGGTGCGGCTTAATGAGTGGGTGAAACCTCATTAAATGTGGCAAATGGGCGTGGCTTAATGGGTGGGTGGAGCCTAATTGGGTGTGGCTTAATGAGTGGGCAGAGCATCATCGAGATCGAAAATGGGCGTGGCTTAATGAATGGGTGGATCCTAATTGGTGAGGCTTAATGAGTGGCCGGAACATAATTTAGTTAAAATGGGCGTGGCTTAATGAGTTGGCGGAGCCTCATTAAGTTAAATATGGGCGTGGCTTAAATGATTGGGCGGAGCCTCATTAACTTAAATATGGGCGTGGCTTAATGAGTGGGCAGAGCCTCATTAAGTTAAAATAAGCGTGGCTTAATGAGTGGGCAGAGCATCATTTAGTTAAAATGGGCGTGGCTTAA